AATTATCTTGGCATTCTTGAAAAATCAACTGACTATAAGTGCACTGGTTTATTTGTGGTTGTTTTCACTACCTACTCAGATACACATAAGATTTTTTTTCAATATGAAGCACTGTTAGAATTAATAATTTTCAACTCTTTAGTCAAGAGATGACCCAAACTCAGTTATGATAAAGTACTCTTTTTTTTTTTTTTTTTTTTTTTTTTTTTTTTTTTTTTTTTTGAGACAGATTGTCACTCTGTTGCCCAGGTTGTGAGAGTGCCTTGGTACAATCATGGCTCACTGCAGCCTCAATCTCCCGGGCTCAAGTGATCTTCCATCTTAGTCTCCCAAGTAGCTGGAACTGCAGGCATGCGCCACCACACCATGCCTGGCTAATTTTTGTATTTTTTTGTTTTTTGTAGAGATGGGGTTTTGCATTTTGCCTGGGGTTTTCTCAGACTGCTAGGCTCAAGCAGTCTACCTACACTGGCTCCCAAAGAGCTGAGATTACAGGTGTCAACCCACTATGCCAGGCCAGTCATGGTGAGTTACTCTTTTTGTACTCTGCTAAATTCGATTAGCTATTATTTTGTGTTAATAAGTGAGACTGACATATTGCTTCCTTTTTTAGCGGCATCTTTTTCAGGCTTTGTTATGAGGCTTATGTAGGTTTTATAACATGAGCTCCATCTTCTATGGTTTGAGAAAATAAAGGGTTTCAAGTAATTCATAATTTAAAATGTTTTAGGTCCCCTGACGCCTCTGGAAGTAATTTCCTTACTCTTTATCTGTGAAGTCCCAGGTATCTGAAAAATTATGTGTGTCCAAACCACAAATGAATGCTTAACTCAGTTGTGTTTCAGTTATGATTTAAGAACAAGTCACTAACTTAAGAATAATGCTATTCTCTTCTCCCCCGTCCATGTCAGCTGAAGTTATCCTTTCCATTAATAGTTTGCTTACCCGAGGTTGTTGTCATCTTTCATTTTTCCTGAACACTCATCATGGTTCCCTTGATCTGCAGCTGCTGCTACTTAATCTAAAGAAAATGCAGCCTGTGCAATTGACATATTTGCTTTCCTAAATACCTTGCATCTCTCTTTACATTGATGCTTGCATCTCCTTATGATGGTTAGAACACAGGCTTGGAGCCAGGCTGGTTTACACCAGCCATATGACCTTTGCAGGGGCTTTGCTTACTCACCAACAAAACATGGATAAAAATAGGACCCACCTCACTGGATTGTGGAGAGCATTACATGATTTAGTATTCATAAAGTGTTTTAAAATGATGCTTTGCCCTTAGAATACAGAATTCAGTACTTAAACACACTTGTCTCTGACAGGCTGAAATTTCAGAGCTTAGATATCAGGCCTCATTTCAATTCCCTCCCATGTGATTTTTTAAAAATAAAACGATTCTCCTCGTTAGTACTCACTATTTCTGGTTCAACAGCCTCCCCTTCCTTTACAGTGTCCTTTGTACTCTATCTGTCTATGAAGTCCCCTCAAACACATACAGCTCTTCCAAGAAGAGTTTCATAAAGCTGGAGCTCTTTTTTCTTCTTGCTGATCCTCAACCTCCTTTCACACCAAATTTAAAAGGTTTGTGGCCTCTGCTGCACCTTTAAAAGGCTGATATCATCCCCACCGCTGATGTCCCTTTTAAGATGACTTCATGGCTTCCTGCTGCATGTGCACCAGCAGAAGAAATGCATCCCACATGAAGCCAATGGAAAGCACCATGGCCTCCGCTCACCACACACAGGCAGATTACCACTCTGCTGAGCTCCATACCCTTACAACTGGCCTGCTTCTGAATGTATCTGTCTCAAACTCAGCTTGTTCAAAGGTGGCTCTATCAGAGTCCCAAGCAAACCTTCTCCTTCTCCATTGTCTGCAAATGGCACGGACATTTTGCCACCCAGAAAAAAACCTTAGCAGTCATTTTGGATGCCTTCCTCTCACCGTCCTCATCACATACCAGCCACACTTTATGGATCAATCTTCTAAATTTCCCCTGAATGCACCCTGCCACCCACACTTTACCTGGACCCCTTGTCACCATGCTGGCTCTCATCCACTCTTGACCCTTTTCGCCAGAGTGACTTTTACAAATGCAAATCTGACTTCGTATTTCTCCAGAGTGTCTTATAATTTTCAGGGTGGATGGTCAAGTTTCCTAATTTTGGCTCCAAAGCTCTTTGTGACTGTCTGTCTGCATGCAACAAGGAGCTCAGAGCTGCTCTTTTCAAGGCTGGTTTCTCCATGTCAACTCAACCCCCTCTCTCCTGCTTCACTCCTCTCCTTAGATTTCCCCATTTTCCACCTTATCTATCTCTTCCTTTCTATTGGATCATTTCCATTGGCATAACCTTCTCTCTCCCCATCATTGTCCAGCTACATCCATTGTTGCCTTCCTTTCTAATAGACTTGCCTGCAGAGATGTCCAGTGCTTACCTCCAGCAGTTGCTTTCATGTCTGCTGCTGACCAGTGCCCATCTGACCTCTGCCCTTCTCAGCTGCAGAGACTGCTCTCATCAGAACTGTCAGCGACCTCGTGCGTCAAATGAAACATACCTTCTCCTCAGCTCACTTCAACTCTCCCTATTATTCGACACTGCTCACCACTCCTGAAAATTACCTTTTCTTATTTTTGTTGACTTTGAAGAAAATTCTTAAGAAATACTCCTGACTTCATTCCTCCCTACTTCACAGGGCACACCCTAACTCTACCAGCACCCTAGCTAGTGTCATCCATCCACTGCTGTGGCTTTTTAGTATGGTACCATTTATTTGCAGGTAACTTTCTCATCTACATTTCCAATCTAGACTGATCTAAATAACGTGAACTTCCCACTCAACATCTCTGCCCAGATGTGCCATTAGCATTTAGAACTGACCATGTCTCAACTGACCTCTATCACCCACCTCCCAACACTTACACCTGTATGTCTACAGGCAGACACATGCTGATATGCGTGTCCAACACAGACATGCAGGCTCACACACAAGCACACTTATACTGAAATCACCCTCCAAAGTTCCCCTTATCAGTTAATGCACAGCCACCCACATTTGTTCCTCCTGGGAACTTGGGGATCCACCATGACAAACCCCTTTCTCACACCCCTGCATGCACCCTTCCCCAAGGCCTTTGGATTCTATTCCCCAAATAAGTCTTGAAATCACCATTCTTCTCCATCTTGGCTTGGGACAGCCTTTTCGAAGTCGCCGTCATTCCTGGCCTGGACTTTCTCAACAGCCTCCTAACTGATCTCTCCACTTCTCATTTGCTTCTTTTGCTGCTATTCCAATCCATGTCCCACACACCATGGAGTGAGCTTTTTAAAACATAAATCTGATCCTGTCACTTCCTAAAAGCATCCAAACTTAGAATGATGCATATGCTAAGACAGCGCGATTGGGAAAGGACCCTCTGAAAAAGATATTTAAGCTGCAACCTCCAAGATGGGCAAGGGGACAGCCAGAAGAGAGACAGACAAAGGCACATTCCACGTAGAGGGGACAGCAAGGGCAAAGGCCCTGAAGCATGAACATTTGAATCCTTTAAGGAAAGAAGGGGGCCCATGTGGTTGAAGCACAGTGAATGAGGCACAGAATGTTGAGATGGTGATGAAGAAGGTAGCAAAGGTCCAACCATACAGGACCCTTTAGGTCATGAAATGGGAACTTTCGTAATTGTTTTATACGCATGCGTTCAGGCCATAGGCTCCACAGAGCAGCGTCCATGTCTGCCTGGTCCCCTTTGTTCATTTGTTCCCCATGTCCACTTCAGTCCCCAGCACATCTTTATGAACTATAGGAGAGACAAATACCCCCAGCATTCCAGCCAGATCAGATGGCTAGCAATTCCCCAAATGTATCATGTCTGTTTTCTCTCCTAATGGCCTTGTTCTTGTCTAGTGAGAGGTTCTCAACCAAGGGTGATTTTGTCCCCGGGGAACATCTGTTAATGTCTGAAGACATTTGTGACTGTCACAACTGTGGGGCAGGGGATGCTGCTGTCACAACTGTGGGGCAGGGAATGCTGCTGGCATCTGATGGGTAGATGCCAGGGATGCCAGTAAACATCTTGCAGCAGATAGGACAGCCTCAGCAACAAATAATTAGCATGCAGGGTCAACAGTGCTGTTTGAGGAACCCTGGTCTAGCTTATTCTACCTTTCCTTTAAGCCCCTGGAAATATCGTCTTTTTTGGAAAGTTCTTCCTCCAGATCAAAAGCTTGAGCTTGGGCCCCCTCATCTAGGATCTTCATACTTTCCTGATGGGATTTATCCCCTTGTTTTCCAGTTGCCCATTCTAACTGTCTCTCACTGGAAGAGAGACATTCCATCAGAGGCTGGAATATGTCTTCCATCAGCATGTTGAACACACAGTGGACCACGATTAATTTTTCTTGAATGAATGCAGCCCCCTGAGACAGGGAGAAGGGTGAAGATGAATTTGGTGGCAACACTTAAAAATGTATAGTTGAGAGAGATCAACTCCTAGGTTGAAAGGACATCCCCAGCCTCCTGCTCTACCTTGAGGAGCTGCCTGTCTCCAAGTGTCTGTGCTAGTTTGTAACCTATGGAAATGGCAACTTCCCATGTGTCCAATCTGACAGCATGGTTCACTCAATTAGTCACTGCATTCAATTTTGTGTTTAATCCCAATAACATAAAAGACATAGAACTAGGGCATATGACAGATCTGTAACAGTGAAAAACAAAGGGCTGAAGAGTCATTTGCAGTTGGCTGTCTCATGAGCCACAGCTACTTAGCATGTGTGGACCTGCCTGATCCACTGGCAAAAATAGAAATCCCTCTGGCCATGCATTTGTGGGTTTCAGATGTTGTGCCTGCCATCAGAAATACTCAGAGTCCTCTCGTGTGGGTTTGGGTTTTGAAATGGACCCTGGTGGAGGTGCTGCGCCTAGGGCAGGAGGCAGGCTCTTTCCAGTCTCCCAGCCGTCGCTGCTCTGCACTCCATGCCATTCCTTTCCCCCAGCGCTCATCCTCTTTCCCTGACTGAGTGGCTCTGATCCTGCTGGCTAGGGAAGGAGCAGCCCCAGGCACTGGAGGTGAGGGCAGGGGTGGGCATCTTCCCTCCGGCTCGCTGCTTCTCCTGCTGCTGTGCTGGGAGCACCTCTCCTCGGGACCAGGAACATTCGCTGTTGTCTGAAGGGCTCTGCTCCTCCTCTGGCTGCTGGTCATGTGCTTGGCCCTGAGCCCACCTTCTCTCCAGCATCTCCTCAAAAAAGATCTGGCAGCTGAAGCCCTCCTGGATGCCATGCTGCACATGCTCCAACAGAGCATCCAGGGAGGGGAAGACCCGGCAGCAGGCCAGGCAGTGCAGCCCATAGTCAGTGGTGACCAGCCAGTCCGGGGGCTCCCGTACCGCACCTCCTGCGAGCAACACTCCAGCAGCTCTGTGTCCTCAGGCTCAGGTCTGCAATTGCTCTTGCAGGCCTCCAGGTCCCAATGCAGGTCGGTGTCGGAAGCCATCTTGAAGGAGGAGCCTTTCCTCCTCTGCCTCTTGATGAACTGGGCTTTATGGATTCAGGGCTTCCTGCTGATGGGCTGGAAGCCTGCCTCGGTCTCACAGGCCACTGCCAGGCCCCGCACGGTCTGCACATGCGTGTAGAAGGCACACACACTCTGCGGGGCAGCGTTGTCCTCGTTGCACATGCAGGAGCAGCACGACTGGTACTCGGAGGACTCTGAAGACGGGGAGCTGCTCTAGCCCAACATCCCTAGGGCCCTGGCAGTGAAGTAGAGGCCCTCCTCCCAGGGAATGGCAGGCCCCGGCCGTGGGTGGGGTGACTCTTCTTTCTGTATGGTCCCTGAGAAGCAGAAGAACATTGTCGTCAGTGCCCCCCAAGAGATCGCTGTCACATCCAGGAGCCACAGACTCTGAAAGGGTACAGGTTCTGGGAGCCCTTGGGCAGACACCACTCCCCCTGCCCATTTCTTGATAAAATGGAGATGATGATAATGCCTGCCGAACAGGCTGTGGTAATGACTGAATAATGTATGAATGCAATCACCAAATCCTGGACTCAACTGAGAAAGACCATTAAATGGTGAGTAACAGAGTTACAGACACATTAAGGATATGACGATAAAGATCAAGTAATGTATTAATCACCAAAAACTTGACTAAAGCAAAGACCATCATCCGGGGAACAGGTAAGCAGACGGTGGTACATCATACAATGCAACCTGTTACACCCGTGAACCGCTGAGATGTGCAACACTCGTTATGGATGAATCCTGAATGCCATATGCTAAATACAAGAAGCCAAACGAAAAGGCATGTGGTCATGAGAGAATGTGAACAAAAAGAAAGAAAAAAAAAAAAGCCATGCAGCGTACGATTCCATTCAGATGCCATTCTAGAAAAGGCACATTTTTAGGAAGAGAAAACAGGTCAGTGGTTGTCAAGAGCCGGGGGTGGGGTGAGGGGAGACTGCCCATAAGGCACAAGGGGACTTTTAGGGTTTCCGAAAATGTTCTTTATCATGGTTGTGTTGGTGGTTCCACAAAGGTACATATGTCAAAATTCTTCATATTGTGCATTTAAAATTGCTGATGTCTGTGTACATAAAAGACACCTCAATAAAGCCCATTTAAAAAACAACACATGCAAAGTGCTTTGGCCAGGCCACCCAGGCTCACAATCCTCTTCAACATTTTTGACCTGTCTTCACCTTATGCAGGGGTCAACTCACCATCTCCTGCAACACTTACTGTGTACCCCTCACCATGGAAGTGCTTGCCAAGTGTTAGCTCCTTTAGTATTCAAAACAACCCTGAGAACTTATATTGTTAGGATTCCCATTCAACAGAGTAGGGAACAGAGGCATGGAGTTTGAATGAGTGGTGGAGCCACTGGGCCCCCAGAGCTGGTGTGACACTTAGGTGCCATCCACAGACTCGTCCCAGGGGTCTTCAAATTGATGTTCCAGATTAACGTTCACCAGTTTATTATAAAGGGATTTTTTATTTTGCTCCTGAAATCAATTGTTTTCTCAAATACACATTAAAACAAATATGTAATTATAAACATTTTACATTTTCATCCTCATATCCCCTGGAAACACCTTAGATACTCACAACAACAGCCTCAGTGATACCAGGTGTCCCATCAATATCAATTTCCTTTCCCCCAACAGGTATGGTTATGGTCAATACAACCCTTTGGTAACAGTAACAGGAGGCAATCTGGCAATGTCCCTTCCCGTCAGGGCTTCCTCCCAGAGAGCACACGTGGCTGACCTTCCAGGCCTTTCTTTTGACCTACCTGGCTAGCATACTTCCACACTCTCCTCAGTGGACTCAGGGCTGGTCAAGTTGAGGGTGGTCCCATCGGTAGGTGACTGTTCTCCCCTGTGGTCCATGAAGGGGCGTTTCATGATTTGAAATGAATGCGCAGAGTCTTGGTACTCCAGCTGTTCGGTGGGAGTTGGCTGGGCTGTACTGAAGCCCTCCAGCTGGCCCTACCCAAAGTGGGCAGTGAGCTCCCCATGGTGGCTAAGATGCTGGCTCTACTCTATGACCTCATCGATGGCACTGTTCTGTTCTGTGACCCATGGGAGGGCAGAGGCTGAACCCGGACACCAGGAGAGGCTTCCTAACGTGTTCTTATTTCCCTGTGGGACCTTTTCTGTCTTGTGTGTGATCAGGGACACACACAAATGCAAAACGCTCATATTCTTCAATACTTAGACACACATAAAAGCACAAACACATAAGCACAGAGACACTTGTACACACTTAAACATGCATGGAACCACTGTCTTAGTCCACTCGTGTGGCTACAAAGGAATACCTGAGGCTGGGTGATTCATAAAAGAAAGAAGCATATTGGGCTCGTGTTTCTGGAGCCTGTACGTGAAGCCTAGTGCCAGCATCTGCTTCTGGTGAGGGCCTCAGGAAGCTCCATTCTTGGTAGATGGAGAAGGGGAGCAGGTGTGTTTAGATCACATGGGTGAGAAAGGAAGGAAGAGAGAGTAGCGGAGGTGACAGGCTCTTTTCAACAGCCAGTTCTCATGGAACTAAGAGTAAGACCCCGTTACCACAAGGACGGCACTGAGCCCTTCATGAGGGATTTGTCCCCGTGACCCAAACGTCTCCTACTAGGCCAACCTCTCACATTGGATATCAAATTTCAATGTGAGATTTGGTGGGGACACATGTCCAAACTATGTCACTCACGTACAAAGAAACATATATGCTCATTCAGACACACGTATGCACTGGGACATACATGACACACAGTAACAAATATATGTATGTGTGTTCACAGACACACATAGATACCTAACAGGCTCACACATACAAATTCACTCACATATTTACTTAACCACACACACATACATGCACACAAACTCATGCCAGTTAATTAACCATACGTAGGCTCACTACACACAGTCATCACCCAACATCAAATAGCCCTGCTTTCCAATGTGGGAAATTGCTCCTTCTCTCCCCTATCCCAAGTCCCCACGCTGACCTTGTTCAGGCACCTCAACCCTCCACAACCCCACCCCTCCCTTGTCCTCTACGCACTCCCTTGCTCAGTTCCTGTGACTCCAGCCACCTCGCTGCTCCCCGGACATGCCAGGCATCCTCCCCTCCCAGGCTCTGGGCTCTCGCACTTGCTCTTCCTTGTTTCTGTTCCAGGCTCTCCCCTAGGTTCCTGTGTGTCTCCCTCTCCTGCCAGTCTCCTCTGAAACCTCATCTGGTCAGAGGAGCCTGCCTAGCACCCCCAGGGGAAGAGCCTTCTTTGGCCCCACATCTCTCTGTCACCTTAGCCTGCTTTATTTTTGCATGATAGCATTTACCACCCTAGGCTGTATATAATGTCTCTGTATGTCATGGGTTTACCTGTATCTGTCTTCTCCTCCTTAGATTTAAGCTTAGGAGGATAGAGACTTCCTTCATTCTTTCACCTCATTTTACCCCTAGTGTCTAGAATAATGTTTGACATATTAACAAGCACTCGAGAAATAATGAGTCAACAGCTGATGAGCACGTTGGGCTGAAAAAGGTGTCACTCTCTCTGGGAGCTGCCTCCTCTGTGCTCCCTGAGTCTCTGCAGCTCCAGGGTAGCTGGTTCTCACCCACCAGGGCTCTGGGAATTGCCTCTTCCTTCTCTACTTGCACAAACCACGCTTCAGCCTCAATCAGCCTGATACAGTGTCCACCTGCCATCTCTCTGCTCCGTGATACCCCGACACGTCACTCATTTCCTCCACAAGCTTCTTACCACTTCCCTCTGTGGCTAAACTTCCCACCCTTGGTCAGTCTCATCAACTCTATTCCTTTGAATCCCAAATACCAAACAGTTCAAATAGGTGATGGACTGAAAATAATCTCAATATTCCATCAGCAACACCAGCATCCCCCCACACACCCAGCACTGAGGAATATCCTCCTCTCCAGAATTCAAGGCTGCTGTGTGAAGGAAGACACCATGGTGCTCTACTGGGCCATGACAGTCACACTTCAACTAAACGGGAGACTATGTCCTGTGGCTAAAAGAGGAAATAGTGTAAGTGCATCCTTTCTTAACAAATACATACAGAGACTTGCCTTACAAAAACAAGAGGGGGCGGCCAGGACACAGAAAAAGTAGGTTAATGGGGGATGGAAGGCAGTTCAGAAAAAGATGACATCATGAAGAATTGCTGAGGCGTAAAGTACACAGCAAGTCTGGGAGGAAAGGAGACTCAGCCAGCAAATGATACAGAAAAATTTATTTGGTATTTTTTTTTGAATCAACTTTGGTCTCACTTCATGTAAAACAGTTAAGGGTATTTTCATAATGGTTCAGAGCTTATGTTTTAATGAAAAATGTGTAGAAAGAAAATATGTTAACATTTGTAATTACAGGGTGGTTTTTCTTAAACAATATTAATCTTCACAAACATTGAGAACCTTTGTCATCTTTTCTAATTTCACTGCTTTAAAAAACTCAGTTTTAATTTGCATACCTCTGCTTTTCAGTGGAACTGGGAAAATAAACAAACAAACAGCAAATGAGCAAGCAGTTTCCAGGGGAAGAAATGCAGATAGCTGATAAACATATGGGAAGATACGGAGTCTTCCTGCAATAAGGGAGCTACAACTGAAAAATGTGTGATATACAGTATAGCATTTTTCACCCATGAGATAGGCAAGAGTTAAAAAAATGGACAAAAACTAGTAGGGCGTAAGGAAATGAACACTTTTATTCTCGATTAGAACAGTGTACCTCACCTTTCTTAAAAAGTTTGGTGGTACCCATTAAAATTAAAAGTAGACGTGCGCTTTCTAAGCAGTTGACTATCATCTCTTCCTAGGGAACCATCACATCATGTGCTATGTGCATCAAATAGCACGTAGAGAAATATTTATTGCAGCATTGTGTATAATAGAAATAAAACCAGGAGACATTCCTAAGATCCATCAAATGAATAAATTACAACATAATCAAACTGTGGAATAATACACCACAATAAAAGAAAGAGATCTATACATACCGATGAGTGTTTCATGTTAAATGAAAATACAAGATACAAGGAATATACAGATGACCCCATTAACGTAAAAATTAAACACCCACCCTCAAATCACTTACAAAATTCTATATTGTCTATGTATCAAAAGGCACAGAGGAGATCTGAAAATAATCACACCCAAGAGAAAACAATATTGACCTCAAGAAAGAGGAGAAAGATTAGATGGGCCTGCGCGAGACTGAATTTCCCAAAGATGGCCACATCAATCTATATCACAACCCACATCCTCTTCTGATAGCATGACAGGGTCCCTCTTCTGATAGCATGACAGGGTCCCTCTTCCTGAACTGGGGTGGATTTGGTAACTGCCTCAATCAAAACAGAATGCACAAGAGTGATGCTTTATGACTGTCAGTGGCAGGCCATAAAAGATGTGGCTTGCTCCTGGTTCTATCTCTCCTCTCCTTTGGCCTCAGCCACTATGTTGTGAGGAACCCTAGGCCACACGAAGAGGTCACATAGATGTGTTCCAGGCAGCAGCCACAGCAGAGGTCTCAATCAACCACCATACATGTGTGTAAAGGTGCCTTCAGATAATTTTGCTTCTCAGATGTCAAGTCTTCCAGCTGGGGTCCAAGACATCACAGGGCAGAGTCAAGCCTTCCCCTCTGTACACTGTTCGACTTCCCCACCCACAGAAACCGTGAGCATAAGAAACCGTGTTTTACACACTAGGTTCTGGGGCAGTTTGTTACAGGCCATGGTAACTCAATGCACTTTGATTTTCCCTGTAATGTTTAAATATGTTCTAGTGAGTTAGCTCATTGACCAGCATCTGTGCTCTGCGTCTTCCTGGCCCAGTCAGAGAAACCTGGGGGCTGGGCAAGCCCTGTGGTTTTCCCAGGACAACCTGGGAGGATGGTTTCCATCCTCACCCCATAGGAAACAACTTACTAGATTGCAACATTTATATACAGTTACTCTTGTAAAGACAAAAGCTTTACAGTGTGGGGCCCAAACAATGTTTTCCAAAGTCCCTTGAGTCAGGTTCTTCTTTCCCCAGAATCTGTACACATTCCTCCTAATCCTCTCAAAAACCCTGTACTATGAACCCTTCTTAGAGATAGGGAGCTTGGTGATTCAGAGGGGGTTGATGAGCTGTGAGTGGGAGAGCTGGGGGAGAAGGGGCTTCCATCTCAGGCCTGGGGGCAGGGCTGCATGGCCAGGTTGCCCTGATGCTTCCTGTGGGCTGCTTCTGGGACTAGTTTGGAGTGAAGCCCCTCCAATGGTGAGCGATTGTCCTCCTCACTCACGTGGCCTCTGGGCTGCTTCTGTCTATGGGAAGAGCCTCTGCCCCAGCCACTCTGCTTGCATGCAGATGCTCAGCTGAGACCACCCACACAGGGCTCCACTCATCCCCCTGCAGCTCTCCAGTGGGTTTTCCAGCCTTGCCAGGAAGCTCCGTGCCTCACTGCTGCAGCCAACAGAGCTGGTGTGCAAACCTCCAAAAGGACCAACACAGCGCTTTCTTGGAGCTCTGATTCCCGGCCAGCTCATTGCACACATTGCATGAGAGCCCCAAACCTCATCCAAGAGGCCTGGAATATTTTCTAGTCTTAACTTTTCTTCCAAAACCTACTCTTCTCAGCCTCTGTTTTTCCCAGCTGAGGAGGCTAACAGGAAACAAAGCGGCCACAGCCACAGCAGGAAGCAGAGAGGCTGCATTTCTCCTCACTTCTAATTCCAGAGCTTGGCTTGCGCCCCAATCTGGGATGTGGGGAGAATCACATCATTCATTCCAGGGTCCATGGGAGTCCAGAAATAGCCTGTGCACTCAGCCAAGGGGTGGTGCTTCAGTGTTGATCGTGGCATTTCTGTGGCTAGAGCCACCGTGTAAAAGTGTCGCAGGTGGGCAGCCCTCCTGC